CCCAAGTGAAGTAGCCCCAAGTCCTTATCTCCACAGAGGTTAACACAAATGGACAGGAAACTCCACATTTGGTCTCACGCTGTCCAAATGAGACAACATAGTTCCTTCTGATTTATTCTTCTTTTCCTTCAACTGCTAGCCTGGCTGGATTGTGTTGGAGAGATATGAATGACAATGCCAAGGTCAAAAAGGCACTCCAGTTCCAGTACATCAGACAATAAGGATACAAACAAAGCTCCTTTTACAGACTTCCACTGACGCATGAAGAAACCCATTATTGGGCCATTTGTATGTTTTCTCTGAAATGGCAACCACTGGCAGTGATGTCATAGTAATGATATGTTACAGTGCCCTGCAAAGAACTCCTGTAGGAAAAGGCAATGGAAGCCCAGGCTCTCTCCTGTTATGGAAAAAGGTCAAACTCCTGTCGCTCTTGCTGACATGGCACAAGTACTAATCCGTGCACTTTATAGTCATCTGGAAATGGAGTGGGCACATCAGACAGCTTGCTCTGTGATCCCGACTGACTCACTGTAAATCAGCCCCATCCTACACATTGCACAACTGAAAATCCCAGTTTAGACTTCTTTGCCTATACGTACAGTAATGATAGCTCTGAGAACTGTCATTGCTTCTGAAATTACAGTCAAATGGCTGTGATTTGGCCTACTGGAATAAAAAAGTCTCTTTGTTGGCCTAGATTATTCTGCACCACTGGGGTGTTGATGCAGGTCTCCTTTGCAAGACAGAAACAAGGTGAGAGAAAACAAGCCTGGGTGGGAACATCTCCAGAGCTACTTCTGTACTGACTTATAAGGACAGACCCTTACTAAAGTAAAAATAATCTTGAGTACATCTTAAATTATGCCTGTTTGTGTCTGATTCTTTTTCTTTGATTTTTAATTCACAGATAGTTAGGAAAACTAATCACCTAGCATACAGAGTATTTGTTGTCCTGCAATGGTTTTATCACTAGGGTTGAACTAGTATTTTAGACAGATGAACAACAGCCTCTATTCAGAAGGCTTCCTCATGTGTTTTGACGTGCAAATAGTACCCATATTTATTGGGATTTGCCTGTTTTCTAAAATCTTTCTCTTCTTTGTAAGTCAAACAGCCAGCATTTTTCATCCCTTCCATTTTGCTCTTGAGTTTTTATAACACACAAACCCCCTTTAAAGAAATAGTAAGTAGGGGCTTCTGAGATGACTCAGTGATTAATAGCATTTGTAGTTCTTGCAGAGGACCCACATGGTCACTCACAACCATCTGTAACTCCAGTTACAGGGGATCAGATGCCCTTTTCAAGTACATGCTGGTATACACATATAGGCAAAACATCCATACACTAACAATAATAAATACAAAAGTGAAATAATAATCATCTTTGGAGAGTAGCATAGTTCAATATTGTTATCAATTAATTTACTTTCTGTGACACTCTATTCCTTCTGACATGTTCTTTATATTTTTCACTAGTTTAGGTAGATGTTATTAGCAAAGCAATGCAGAAGGATCTCTCTGACCCATATGGTTCTGCCGTCTGTGTCTAAAGCATTATTGTGTGTAGTGGAAGAGGAGGGGTTGGCTTGCACTTGGTCTGTAGTCGGAGACCTGGAAGGGCAGAGACTTCATCTTTAGGAGCAGGAAGGCCTCAGTGGTTACTTACCATAATTGTGTAAATGCTTCCCTAATAAATACCTGTTAATGATACCCAATGTGGGGCAGCCCCTCCTCTTCCTTATAAGAGGTCACATCTGTACACTTGAAGCCACACCCCCAGTATGTGGTCACTACTACAAGTCCACTGGTGAAACAAGATGACACTACAATGGTGTGCCTGTGGATGTTATGTTACCAGAACTTTTCCAAGTCACACATCCCAGCACTTCATCTTAATGTAGAGGTGGAATGTGACTTCTCTAAGATTGTCACAAACAGATCCTATGACATTTTTATTTTAGAGTGTCATTTAAGATTCCTACATAGAACGCCTCAGCATTTACACAGAAAGTAGTGTGTAACAAAGGAAGACTATGTAGAGAAATACACAGGACCAATTCTGTGGTAACAACGATGAGTGGATATATGGCTAAAATCCTGTTGGCAGGGTCAGGAGAGATGGCTCAGAGGTTAAGAGCACTTGTTTTTCCAGAGGATCCAGGTTCATTCCCAGCATCTACGAGTAGTCTGTAACTCCAGTTCTAAGGGATACACTGCCCTCTTCAGGCCTTTGCAGGCCTGCACATGATAGACACATATTGCAAAGAAAACATCCACATATATAAAATTAAAATAAATAAATCTAAAAACAAATAAAAGTCTTATTGGCAGGTGGTAGTTGCTGGGGCCGAGGAATATTCATCTTTATTTAAGAGCGTGGCAACTGGAAGACTGTCCATACGCTAGTGGATGACCCCACACCCATGCGTATATGGGCAATACTAATTGGTCTTAGTGGGCTACAAACATTACTTAAAAATTCCAGAAGGAAGACATAGGGAGATATGTGTGGGAGTCCTGGGACAGTGGGAGGAAGACTTTGTGGCGAGAGGATGTGATCAAGATAAATTGTGAATATGCATGACATTTTCAAAGAATAATTTAAAAATATTTTTAAAATTCTAGTTAAAAAAAATCCTTTAATTCCCGAATGAAGCATAGAAAACAACTTCCTTAGTTCCTGGCCTCCATTATTGGCCCTCATCGTCTGACTAATATAGATATTTTTGATGCTTAATATACCCTTAAAATATAGCAACAAAATCAGAAAATCAGTGACACTAGTACATGATAAAAATTAGAAAGAGTTGATTAGATTGATGGATAGAGACAGGGGAAGACAGGCAGTTTTTAATCCTCCATTTATCTTTCTCTTGTCTTTTTTTTATGTATACTTAGTCTTATGTTACCTTGACATTTTCTAGCATTTGTCCGTATTTGTGACACATAAACACACACATATGCACACACATACGTACGTCCACATGCACACACACAATTCTTCATAAAACTGCAAGCTATTTGGGGGAACTTTTACTCTGCAACATTCAGACTGAGGAATCTACGAGCATGCTGCTTTTTGCCCTCTGACTTTGGGGACAGTGTAATAAAATAGCAAGAGGAAATGGAGAAGAGATCATGTGACCAAATGACTTATGGACAAGCATGTTTCTCTGGTGTTCCCATTCATTTATCTCTACTGTATAATGCATTTTTCTTGTTTTACTGGGTAATTAAACCTTCAACACTCCCAAGTTTTCGAAGAATCTGAATCCCATTACAGAGAGATGCCTGAGTTTGATTCCCTGGTATTATTATCAGGAGTTGGCCTCTTTCAAAGGGAATGCTTTTGATAATGCTGGGAGAGGTCTCTAAGGAGAGTCCCCACTCTGAGCAAGTTAAGCGCTGTCATATGTCTTGGCAGGGTTTGCTGAATTTTTGGGTTAACTTCTACAGCTGTTTTTCCCCTCCCACCCAAATTTCGTTTTAAACTTATTGCCTTGTCTGCTTCTTAACAGAACAGGATCGTTTTTCAGAGGTAGGGCTAATCTTGTCTTTCAAGTCACATTTTATGTAGAGGAAAAAAGAAAAAAAATCCACATCAAAGCTCTCAGAGGAGAGACGGCAGATTTTCTGCATGTGTCTGCCCTAGTCCGGCAGTAGTCTCATACAAATGCTGGACATGAATTACTTAAAGCTTACACTAGCTGTGCTGACCCTTTGGGCTTAAAGCCAGCTCTGTGTCATGTGTCTTTCATCTGAAATGCACAACAAGGATCCTTGTTTACATCTATCTATCTATCTATCTATCTATCTATCTATCTATCTATCTATCTATCTATCATCTATCTGCTCTCTATCTCTCTCATATATCTACCATCTATCATCTCTATTACCTATCTTTCTATTTAATCATTTATCTATCTATCATCTATCACATATTTATCTCTTTATCATCTATCTGTCTTCTATCTACTTACCTATCTATTATGTATCTATCCATCTTTCTATCTAATTATCTATGTATCAACCTATCATATCTTATCTGTCATATTTATCTATGATCTATCTAATCATTTATCAATATATCATCTATCTCTATCTATCTAACATCTATCTATCATATATCAACCATCTATTTATGCTTTTGGAAAAGAAAGCTACAAAGTTATATTTCTATTTTGGCCTCTTTTGTATATGCATCCATGACCACAGACCTTTGTTCAGTTTTTGTTTTTTGGTTACAAATAAGCAAGCTAAAGTTCTATTCGTGTTTAAGAAAATCAATTCAAATAGTCAACTGTGTGCTGATCTGCATGTGTGTACTTTATCTGGAAATTGGGAAATGAGACAAATGTGGCTGGAAGTGAGAGACAAGAACTTTCTAGTACTTCACACAGATGCTCTTAGATAGAAGACACATATGTTAGTACCAAGAACAATTTGCCCTAGCAAAACCTCACTCCCCCAAAGAAAGAAAGTCTCTTTAAAAACATTGAAAGCCCAGTAAACAGACATGTTTTTTTTCCAGCAATCATTTTGAGTTGGAAACAAATTCTAGAGACAACTAAACCCGAAGTCCTACTTCTAGACAGTAAATAGGGGCAGAAATAAAGGAGATTCTAACAGAAAAAGTTTTCTCAAAAAAGACATGAATCTCTTTGCTTCTAAAAAGCTGGCATGATGAAACAAATAAAGACAGGGTCTCCATAACCTTCACTCTAGCCTGACATCTGCTCCGATGTGGGACCTCAGGCCAGAATTTGGGGAATGCTGTGTGCATAGCAGTATGAGCCATCACTGGAATGGTGGCGTATTTTGATTTCACATGGGCTAGGATGGAAGCTTAGCTAGGACATTTGCTGAAATCTTTATCATGAATGCTTAAATATTCCATGCTTTTCCTCCTCATTTGGAGCTGAGATAAGAAGTGGTAGTGTCATTGTTAGAATTGTACATAATCTTCACCTAACACAAATTATATGCTCAATAAACAGGAGACATAAGAAGGTGCTAGATGGACTCATTGGCTCCATGTGTGCTTTGAGAGGGAAACTGACAGTCGTTGGAGAGGGCTGAAGAGAGCATCATTACAGGGAGGATGGGATCCTGAGATGCCATGGGAGACACAGCAATCTACAGCAGGAAGTGTAAACTTGTGGTAGGTAAAGAGATGCTTTCAGTGCAATTAGCAAATTCATTGTAATGACTGCTTTTAATTGAAAGTGGGCTCAGGGAGACTTCCTTCCTTGGCTAAAGTGGGGAATGTCTTCAGCTTTTCCAGGTACAGGTGCTACTATGAGAAAAAAATTAGTGGAGTAACTTGATTATTTTTCTGACATTACAATTATCTTTTGTATTTGTTGCCAAGTATTTGTTTGAGGAATGTTTGTTCATTTTACCCACCTCTTCTTGAAGTAGATCATAAGGTACCTCTTAAAAACAAACCAGGGAGCTAGAGAGATGGCTCAGAAGTTAAGCACACTGGCTGCTCTTTCAGAAGTCCCAGGTTCTATTCCCAGCATGCACATGATAGCTCACAACTATCTATAACTCTAATTCTAGGGGATTCTATGTTCTCTTCTGGTCTTGGTGGGCACTAGGCACAGACATATGAACAAACACAACACACATATACATACAATAAAAATAAATAAATCTTTTAAAGCGACCAAGCAAGTGAGGAGGCAAGCAAGCAAATGAAGTCCCTTTTCCAGTCCTCGACAAGTTTTATTCATGAGACAGATGCTACACTCAGCTCTTAGGAATTCACTGAAATGTTTCTATCAATAAACAAGTTAAATTATATCTTCTTCAGGAATGGTTTTTGGAATGAGCACTTGAAACACTATCTGAGTCTTGTCAGAGCCCCAAGACCTTTGCTTAGAATGCTGGGCATGGATTTACTTTTTACCTTTGAACTTGAAGAAAGAACATGGAGCTTTATGGGATGGCCAGAACCATCTTATGATGGCCAGGATAGAATAGAAAACATCTGAATAGACCAGCCAGTAGTGCAAGAGTAGAGGGAAGGAAGGAAAAGTGAGACAAATGTATTTCTTCCAGTGTGCCTAAGCTGACTTACACTCAGATGCTACACTCTGGATCACCATATTGTCTTTATGCTTAGATACAACACTTCTACACATGGAAGAGAGAAAGAAAATTCACATGATAAAGCCTTACCTGGAATTTCAGTAAACTGAACTTTCAGTATATTTTCTTTCGACAAGTTAGCATTCATCGTGATTCCTGAAACTTTAAAGTCACTAGTGGATATTTGTTAAAAACAGAAAATGAAGAAATAAACTGAGAAGAAGATACATCATTTATCCTTGTATCTACAAACCATGCCATGTTTTAGAATATACATCTTTGTGTATATTATAATGAATACACTGAAGTATTTTTTAAAGACATTGCTTGAAATGTTCCCTTTTGCTAAAATCATAGGCATGCTTTTTATATAGCATGGATATTTTATTTTTTCTTATTTTAAGAACTTCAGAATAGAATACATAGGTATGCCATTGCTTATTTAAGCAATTGAGTTATCTAAATTTTAGGGATTTTTTTCCTGGACTTAGTTGTTATGTGAACATACTTGTTGAAAAGGATTGACAAATAATTTTTAAATTATTTATAATGTATGAGTGTTTTGCCTGTATGTACAATAAGTGTATTTCTGGTACCCCCTGAGGTTGGAAACCATGAAACTGGAGTTACAGATAATTTGAACCACCACATTGGTGCTGGGAGCTGAACCTGAGTTTTCTGGAAGCACAACTGCTCTTCACCACTGATCTGCATCTCTAGCCTGAATCTTTTTTTTTTCTTTTTTTTTGTTTTTTTTTTTATTTAGCCCAAATCTTAAATATTTTTGAATGAAAAGCAGAGTAATAGAATCACATGTTTTAAAGTATGTATATGTAAGGAACTATATAATTTCATTTCTTCATTCAAATGGATACTGAATCTTTTAATAGTGACTGAGAATTCACATACTCACTAAGACATCATTATGCCTATCAGTTTCATTGATGTGATAGATATAAAATGCTCACAGTCAGGCCTATCAGCAATGGACAGATGTGGATACACGGTGTAGACTTTTGTAATTAGTAAGGGACTGTTATTTTTTCCCCCTTAAGCTGCATTGGAGCTGTAAGCTTGGCCAAGTTGAACATTTGTTTGAGTTGAACAGTGCTATATATTTTGCTTGTTTATTGTTTACCTATATTAATGATTTCTAAAATGCTCAAGAAAATTAGAAGCTAACACAAGCAGCTAGTAGTCTATCACTGAACGGTTTGCCTTGCTAAAGTGTAAGGTATGTGGTAACCATAGGGGTTGGGTGGATCTCTATAGCAGGTGACACTCTGTTTCTGCTGGCACTATTTTTGTACCGTTGTTATAATTAAGTAAGTAAAGATACTATTAACAAATATTTTCAAAATCCAGACCTAGTTACCAGAAGTGTTTTTCCTTTTAAGGCCAGACTGAACACGTTTTTAAAGATTCTCAGGTCAAAGTGAAAAGAAACAGGGGGAGAAAGATGGAGAATACAAGGAAAGATAAGATCAGAGTAGTAGTATTGAAGTATCTGATCTGGCTGGACCATGATATCCCTCTGTTTGGTCAGAGAAAGTGTGTGTGTGAGTCTTGGTTTTCTGGCCAGCAAATCTGACTGTAAGGAAGCTGAGTGGTGGAGTTACTGTGATGTAACACCTCAAAATACTCATCAGGACTATCTGAAATCCATCTTAGCAGCTCAGTGCTTCTTCCAGGCCAGGGCTAAGGCACACACAGCAGCACTGTTACTGATCAGAGAAACGTCAGATCCCAAGAGACATAATTGCTAACACTGTGAGAGATTGGAGAGACATTTTTTTTTTTTAAATCCAATTTCACAAATGGCTATACCTTTCTCACCTTGACAGGGAAGTAGATCTTCTGGAAATGCTTTAGCTAGCTTCTTTGTCTGCCTGTGGATGAGCCCTTGAAGACAGAAACCTTCTTGATCCCTACAGCTATTTCCGTTAACCCCTTGCAGACCGCATCATGTGTGCACTCAGCTGCTGAACTGTTTTAATGAGGTGCCACTGATTTTAATGGGCCAAAAAAGATGGATGACTCACACCAGATGTCCATAAGGGCCATTCGGGGATTGCTCTGCCGGACGCGTAGTACATCATGTTGCTCATTGAATTCTTAAGGGGTTAACTTGACCTTTCTCTTTTAACACAGCACTAAAAGTAATGCAATTTCCATTTTTCGGTGTCTCTTTTATTTATATAGAGGAGCTTCATGACAAACCCACCAGACCTCCGAGAGCAAGTTTCCCATTTATGTCTCTGCCATCCATAGACCCTTGCGGGTGATTTTGAAAGTGGAGCAGATGGAGGTGGATGCTTCAGGAGTGGGTACCACCCAAGCTTTTATGACTAACACTTTCACATCAAACTTTCCCAGAATTGGAGCATATTTTCTGAGGACTGTTGGTCAGTGCTGCATACCTTGTTCCTCAGAGTTTATTTCAGTTCTGTTAATCAATACTCTTGTCCCTTGAAGTATGAAAATAAAATAAAAGGCAAAGAGCAGGAATTATAATTCTTCTCTTAAATCTGATGTCATTGACATCATATTGTATTACTACTTGGTCCGTTCTTGATTCTGGTAAAAATGACTCTCTATTTGTTAAAAGGTATCAAATTGAAAGTCATTATAAGATGGACATTCACTGACATCTGGTTCTCTGTCTCCTTGTACCTCTCCCTGACCCTCTCTTTTTCTTCACTTTACCCCCTCTCTCTTGCTAAGGATTAGACCTGTTTGAGAACAGATGTATCATATTCTGATGGTTAATACTTTCCTTCTTGATGTTGGTCCGAAGTAGGTGGTTACATTCTATCTAGTCTGGGGTCATGCATTTATCTAACTCTTTATGAAAGAAAAGAATTGAAATGGATGGTTAGTTATTATGGTCTTTGCAGTCTTTTAACACAGCACTAAAAGTAATGCAATTTCCGTTTTTTGGTGTCTCTTATATTTATATAGAGGAGGTTCATGACAAACCCACCAGACCTCTGAGAGCAAGTTTCCCATTTATGTCTTTACCATCCATAGACCCTTGCGGGTGACTTGGCTGTGTTTCCTTGCATGGTCAGGTGTTTTAACTGATTACAAAAGAAGCTCATAAATTGATAGGCTTATAAAAATCAGCCAATCACGGGAGCACAGATTTGCATAGCTTCTAAAGAGCAACCAAATGGCAACTCACTATTTCCCTCTTTAGTCCTCTGCTGCATTTTACAATTTAACTATAATAATTTTCTGCTTTTCATTGTAAATTTAAATTTTACATGTTGGGTTTTTAAAAAAGATTTATTCTCATTTTATGTATTAAAAGCATTTTACCTAATGCATGTCTGTGCCCCACATGTGTGCAGTGCTAGTGAAGACCAGAAGAGAGCATAGGTCCTCTGAAACTGGAGTTATAGACGGTTGGGAGCGTCCATGTGGGTGCTGGGAAGTGAATCCAGTTCCTCTGCAAGGACAGCTGGAATTCTTAACAGCTGACTCATCTCTCTAGCTTGCATGCTAAGAATTTTGTTGGTATGTATTCCTTTGTGATGCTTATTTTCTTGAAATACATAAAATGTATGCTTAACCTTCTTTAGACAGATCCCTTGTGCAAACAAAGGAGAGGGAGGAGGAGGGACTCACACACAAATAGTTGTCTTTGTTTTTTCTCTGATTGTTTATTTCATTGCATTATTTTTATTTTTATTTTTTCAGTTGTTTGAGACAAGTCTTACTGTGTTTCTCAGACTGGCCCCCAATTGCCATCTTCCTACCTTAGCTCCCACCAAATGTTAGGGTTACAGGTTTGCCCATGACCAGTCTTTTCTGATATTATTCATGATACATATATATATATATATTTTGCTGAAGAGATGATGGAATATTGTTTTCTCTTTCTAGTTTTAGTGTAATATTTACTTCATTGTGACTTCACACATGCATACGTGCATATATACAATACACACATACTCCCCCCTCACTGAAATATTTAACTTCATTACAACATGAATAATAAAAACCCAGAATCAGAAATTGGGGTTAAACCTGAAGGTTAAAGAAGCAAAACAGCCAAGTCACCAGAGAGCTCTTACTACCACCAAGACTAGGGTAATCCTGTACTCAGTGTGGCTGGATACAGACTAGTTGACAGTTCTGAGACCCTGCTCCTGTCTTATATACCTCCTTAGTGCTGGGATTAAAGGCATGTGCCACCACTGCCCAGCTTCTATGACTAACTAGTATGGATTCAGGGATAAAAGTTGTGTACCACCACTGCCTGGCCTCTGTGGCTGTAACTAACTTTGCATTCTGATCTCTAGGCAAGGTTTATTAGATCACAAACAATATATCGCCACATTTCTTTTATTATATTCTGTCCCTGCTTAAGTACACAACCTTTTGGTTATGCATTTTGATAATGCTTTTTATCATCACTGAGATGAAGAAGGATACAAACTTTTCTATCAGTTATCCTCAGTATATTTCATTCACTTTTAATTTCTTCTTTTCCTCCTATAGCTCACTCTTCTCCCCTTATAATGTCCTGATTATGCAAGCTAAAACTTTGCAAAGTCTGACTTTATAGATTAACACCTCACGTGTTTCCTTGTAATCATTCATTTAGTTATAAGTAGATATTCAAATTGAGAATAAAAATGACTCCAGACACTTTGGAAGAGATGAAAATCTTTTAAGTGTGGATTGCCCTTGACAGGCTGTGACATGTACAGCTAATAGAACATAGTGTAACTGCTAGCATCTAGTTCTGAGTCTCTAGAGGTGTTACATACATGTCTAATCTTTCCCTACTCCTTTGCAGTCACCAAGAGAATACATCTGGAATTTTCTGCTTGATGAGATGCATATAGCCTAGTTGTCAGAGTCGTCCACTAGACATGTTAGTAATGATAAGCAGGGTCAAAGGCACCTTTAGCCTAGTTTAACTCTCTACCTCATAGGACCATGCTCTAAATCAATGTTTGTTTGAAGACACTGGTTATGATGTGTTTATTTTGCTATTCATCAAGATTTTCCTATTTAAGTAGCTAAGGCTCATGTAGATTCTTAAGAAAAAGACTGACTATCATTTTCAACATCATGATATTCTGTCTATGAGCTTTGAATTTATTTGAGTTTATTGCCCTTTGTTAGATGTTATTCTTACAGTGACCCTCTATATTCCATTGTCTTTCTTTTAAGTTCAATATTGTCCTGGTCTTTTGTAGGTTACTATAGTACTGTAAGATTATGAGTACAATGGCCATGTCATAACCAGAGAACATCGCTTCTCAGCATTCCTTCCCAAATTCTTGCTCTTACATTCTGTCTGCTCCCCCTTCTTTAAAATTCTCTGAGCCTTATAGGGGATGATGCAATTGTCCTCTTGAGACTAAAGCATCCCATAGTCACTTATTTTCCATCCTTTGACCAGTTGTGAGTCTCGGAAGTAACAGCCATCCATTTCAAAAATAAACTTGTCTGATAAAGGCTGAAAGGAGCACTAATCTATGGGTACAAACTTAAGTATTTAGAACCCAGTGTGACACCATGACCATTCAGCAAAATAGCAGAAGTAAGGTCCTCCCTAAGAGCCTATGACCTCTTCAGCCATAGATTCTTGACTAAGTTACAATGCCAGCCATGAATTTTCTTCTATGGAGCAGAGCTGGAAATCTGATCAGTAAGTGGTTTCTTAGCCCCATAATAATCATACCAGTATTTCATCAATAGGCATATATTCCCAGCTAGGACATTATTTTAATTTGTGCAGTGCATATCTGGATAAGGCCGTGATAGCTTTTCTCTCCTGGTATCTTACATAGCACCTTCCAACACTATGAATGTTTGACAGCAAGGAGAAAGATTTTTTTACTTAGATCTGCTTGATTTCTCAGTGTATTGCAATCTAAATGTGTCTTATCTCCAACATTAGGGTTTTAAAACAAGGATTTCAATAATAGCTTGCAATGTTTTTTTTTTTTTGGGGGGGGGGCTCCATGACCAACAGCTCACAAGGAGGTAGCTAACTCCTAGTTCTGGGATTGTCAAATAACACACGACTTTAGGAAGGAACATTATGCACCCATACATGGAGATTCATACTTTATTTTTAAATTAAAATTTAAAAATATATTTACAAAATAGTTTTCTATCGGGCTTTCATCTTTATTTTTAATTTTTGTTAATTCTTTCCCCTACCTTCTCCTCACCCTATTCTGCCATCTCCATCTTCATGGAAACTATTCCACACCTAGTATTCTTCATTTATTTCCATACCATATGTGATCTATGATTTCTGCTTCCTTAATTACTCTTGTCCCCTGTCATGTAGTTGCCCCTGCCTAGCTTCCTGACCTTTATAGACCAATTTCATAAAACCAGCATAAGAATTCAAAGATAGGCCAGTGCTCTGTTCAGAGTCTCCTGAGGCTTGAGACCTGTGTATGGGGGAACCCATCTTGGCGTAATAGCCCATCCAGAGTCTGCCAGAGTCCTAGTCCCACATCCACCCACAGGAGGAGGTAAGCTTGGGCCTGTTTCTGGCCCATCTTCCGGTGCCCTGCTCAGAGCCTCCTGAGGCCTCAGGACTGTGCACAGGGGAACCTGTCCCAGCAGACCAGCCCATCCAGAATCTGCAAACTTCACTGTACTAGTCCAGCCTCCACCCATGGGAAGAGGAGAGCCATCGGAGTATTGGACCTGCTTGCATCCACCAGAAAAGAACCTTGGTCCTGTACCAACCAGGAGAGGGAGAGATCCCACCGGTACCTACTAGAAGAAAGGATGGGAAGGCCACAGTTTAAGAACACAGTCAACAACAGAAAGATGAATATGACACCACCACCAGAGTCTAGGGGAGTGGACACCAGCAAGACATGAACATTCTAACACAGACGAAGCAGAAGAGAGCAACCCTAAAAACAACTTTATGATGATGATAGAGACCCTCAAAGAGGTAATGGGAAAATCCCTTAAAGAAATGGAAGAAAAAACAAACAAAAATTCAAGAAATGGAGGAAAAGACAAACCAGAAATTGTAAGGAAACAATTCAAACAATTCAAGGTTTGAAAGCTGAAATAAAGACAATAAAAAAAAAAACACTGTCTGAGGGAATGCTGGAAATAGGAAAGCTGGGTAAACAATCAGGAACTATAGATGCAAGCATAACCAACAGAATAGAAGAGATGGAAGAGAGAATCTCAGGCATTGAAGATACACTAGGAAAAACAGATTCATTCACCTAAGAAAATATTAAATCCAATAAATCTCTAACACAAAATATCCAGGAAATATGGGACACCTTGAAAAGACCAAACCTAAGAATAATAGGTATAGAAGAAGGTGAAGAAACCCACCGCAAAGGTGCAGAAAACATGTTCAAAAAATCATAGAAGAAAACTTTCTAAATCTAAAGAAAGACATACCAATAAAAGTACAAGAAGCTTACAGAACACCATATAGAGT